GCCCAAAAAGCTTAAAGTTTGACATCTTTTCCACTCGAAAAGACCCGAATCAGTCTTACTTATGTACAAAAACTATAAGTAGGTCATAATAAAACATACTCTTATTTACAGTTGCTGTTACTGCATTTTTGTCCTGGTCAGAAGCAGAATCATTTTAAAAATGTATGTTTTTGTTAGGTTTTCCGTCTTTTCCTGTTAATACAAACTGAAAGTGGGTAAGCGATGACTGAGTGGACGCTGAGTGGACTGCCCTCTTGTTTTTAAACTAAACATCATGGTTTTAAGTGAAACATGTTCATATTTCTCAGTACTCTGGATTAAAATGGAGGCTGTGCTCTATATTTACCTGTCGCCGGGGTAAATCATGGTATTGGAGCTCCACTGATGATAGCTTTCTTTCTCTAACCGCGCTACACTCAGGGTGAACATACTCAGAGTTGATTTAACTAAGTCTGATCAGCCTTTCTGGATATTCAGAGTCTTCCACAGTTAGACTCAGAGTTTGTTGAACCTGCTTTCTGTCTCGGGTTTATTATTCCTTCAAACAGCAGCAGGACTACACCCCACACTGCTCGTTACGCATTTCTTTACTGTGGTAAAGGAATGCGTAACGAGTGCAACAGTTAACTAAAGGTTAATTCATAATTATTAAAGTCTGTGGGGAAAGTTAAAGAGTGGAAAAAACGAATGTGCAAGCACACATCCTCGTCCCCGGGGGCCTGTGTACTCATTAATTCAGCAGAATTACTGTGATGTCACTGGGTACCTAGAGATTAAATGACTCAACTAAGCTCTCACAAACTCAACTAAAATACATTTTCAACGTTTGATCCGACAGACTCAGACTCAGGTCCATCTCACTGTGGCCTCTGCCGTTTTTCTTTTTTTTAAAAAGAGATTTATTTTTTGGCTTTTTCCCTTTATTTTACATTTTCAGCAGTAAAGAAGAGACAGGAAGGAGGGCGAGAGCGTGAGAGAGAGAGAGCCCAGGGGATGCGCAGCAAAGGGCTGCAAGTCGGACTCAAACCTGGGCTTCAGCCGTAAGGTATATGGGCACTTGAGCTCAGTAGGGCTGCTCTGGGCACCCCAAAGTGCATAGTATTAATATATTTACTGACAATCCAGGCTTTAGTTTGCCCTCACACATTTCCACTGTGTTTCTGTCCAAGCACAGGTCATTTCCACACATGAACTTTGGCCAGCTTTGC